ATACTACCAGTTTTAAAGTTTTTTAAAAATTCTTAAATTAAAAAATTATTCCTAATATATTTTCTAACATTATCTGTTTGCAGATTATGTACTTGGGAATAGAGAAACTTTAAATTTTAAGATCTTTTAAGTATTAGAAGTCAATGCCAACTGAAGATCATTAAAACAGAACATTTCTGTTGTTTTAATGTCAATAAAAAATGTGATTTAATTTATGTACAACTTTTTCAGAATGATTTTTTTCATAAAAGTAGGTTGTATTGGGTATTGGCTCAAGAGAAGAAGAAAAAGATTATTTCATAATTTTAATGAGTTTGGGGATAAGGCAGACGAATGAATTAATTCAGGCCCCACGGCTGCATCAGCAACCTGTCAGTGAGTTGTCCCAACAAATCCATCCTTTCTAGCTAAGCTAAAAGTAGCCATAGGTTGATTGTACCAATATATTTTAAACCTGGTAAACTGGACACTTTGCCATACACCTAAAATCCCAGTGATTTTGGAGGCTGGGGCAGGAGGATGGCAAGTTGGAGGCCAGCTTCACCAACTCAGAGAAACCCTGTCTCAAAATAAATAATCAAAAGGGGGAGACATAGCTCAGTTCATTCCCCAGTATGATGATGATGATGGTGATATGATATGATATGATGATGATGATGATGATGATAATAATAATAATAATAACTTAAGTCTGGGACTAATATTTTGAAGATAACATTCAGTTTTCTATAATAATGGGATTTTTAAATATCTAAAGTCGTTTTTTTTTTTACTCAAATTTTACAAAATTTGAAGAGAAAGATATAGTGAAGAAGAATAGGAAGAGCTAATTCAGATTCTAAATGATTGTAACCTAGAAAGCTTTTTAAAAAACATTTCTTTCCCTTCTCTAAGGAGACAGAGCAAACTCTCCAAAAACAAAAGACTGAGGAAGCCCCAGACATCGACTCACCAGTGGTGTCAGTCAAGGGTCTATAGTCATTGTCAGTCAAGGGTCTGTGGTCATAGACACAGAGACATTTTGCACTTGTATGTCAAGAATGCTGCCAAAATAAGAGTGGCTTGGCAATTAAACAAATCTGAATTCTTATCCCATGTCTTAAACTGTTCTCAGCTGTGTGACACAGCTTGAGTTTCATAACCTTGAGCCTAAGTTTTGCTGTCTATGTAAATCTGACATTTTATATACTTAAAAGGATTAAATATAAAACTACATAAAATTGCTTGATAAATTCTAAGTTTTAGTGCTGTTTTTACCAAATCAAGCTCTTGTGACATTGAAAGACTGAGAGAATCAAACACCAGTCATGGCTAACTAGATTTCCATCAAACCAAAGTTTTGTAATGAACTCATTTTTCTAGTCAGGACTATTCCTAGAAGGCAAAAACAAGAAGGAGAACTGAGTCTTCAACACAGCCCTTCTTGGGAGTCCCTGCACCCACCAAGGCTGAATGTCTTCATACAGCACAGGTGTCTCCACACAAATGTGTCATCAGGGCTCTTTGTCTGAGTCTTGGCAGAAACCTGGCTCTTCCCTAGGTCTTTACTCCTGCCCCTGTGAGGATTTACCTGCTCCCTGTTTAATAGCTTTCTGTTAATTTGCTTCTGTGTATGCCTTCCTGGGAACCTGTATTCATTTGGACAGGGATCATAGAGAAATAATACATGAGTGCTGTTTTCAGCAGCAGGCGTTCTGGCATTGGGAGTGAACTGAGCACTCCCTCTGAGCCAGGTGGCATGGCATGTGCTTTTTATCGTGTGCATTACCTGGTACAAGCCTTACAGCACCATTGAGCAGGCCTTATCGAGATCTTCATTTTAGAGATTGGATATCTGAGATTTAGAGTGGTGAAATAATTGGGTGAAGAACAAACATTATAAAAGGGCAGTGCTGGAATCCATCCCTGGGCCCACCTGTCAGTAGACCTCTTGGCTCTCACTGCTGTGTTGTGCTGCTGCCAAAGGCCAATCAGGAGATGCACGTAAGCAGCCCCTGGCTTCCTGAGCTTGATCCTGCAGCCAGGACCCAAATGCCTTCCTGCTTCCAAACAAATTATTTGGGAACTAATTTAATCCATTAAGTCCCATTGTCCAATGTAGAGTTGAAAACTTATGGGTTTTCAAGGGAGTTGGGGAGTTTAGAGAGGGACACCCTGGCCTAGCCTCAGCCCACTCCAGGCTAGATAGCTCCTGATTTAAAGGACTATTCTCTGGGCTTCTTCTGCACACAGAGTAGCCTAACTTCCAGCACTCACCTATGGAAGAAATAATCTACTGTTTATATTTGTAATAGACTGAATGAGTGGGTGGATGTGTAGGTAGAGGGAAAAGCAATTTACAAATATTCTATTGGGCCTGAGGTTGTGGCTCAAGTGGTAGGATGCTTACTTAGCATGTATGAGGCACTGAGTTCGATCCTCAGCACCACATATAAATAAATAAGTAAAATAAAGATATTATGTTCATTTACAACTAAACAATGTTTAAAAAACAAATATTCTATTTTACTTATTATGCATTATTTTATCAGTTACCAAAGTCTAAATCTAAAAGAAAATATGTGAATTTGCTTGTATTTTACTTAACCCAGAATTTTCCTGATGCAGCAACTCTTCCAAAAATGGGGTTATGAATGTCCCAGTAAAGTTGTAACCCAGGAAATACTCCTTTTTGTTTTGGTTTTAAACTGAACTGTGTTTTAGAACAGACAGAATTTTCTCAGAAGTGAAGCAGATATTACATTCTCACTGAGTTAGAGTGTAGCTCTGTGCTTTTTCCCCTTTGTCAGACAAGAAGAGACACTAATGACTAATAATGATAGTAGGAGCAACTCAGTACCTAACGAGTACTTCCCTCACACCAGCCATGGCTCTGGTGGATGTAGGTAAGGATATTTACGTCACTGCACATGTTATAGTGAGTACTCATGTCATTCCTCTGGTATAGATGAGAAAACTTAGGCACAGAGAGGTTAAGTGATTTCCTCAGAGTCATAAAGTTTGTAAACGGTAAAGCTAGGATTAAATCCAGGCAGTTTGGCTTCTCATTTTATTTCCTTGTACTATTAAAACAACCAGTCCTCTTCTATCTGTTTATCAACTAAATCATTTTTATATTTTGGCAAAGAAGGTCAAAGCTAAAGTTTATTTTGTATGTTAAGCAGCAATCCCTGCTTCAAAATGGGAGGGGGGCTGCCCCAGTAGGACTATGATTTGGATTTCAAGATGAGTGACTTGTGTCAACAGGAATACACTCAGCTTTTCTTACATTTTAGTAATTATCTTACCTTAACAATGTGTTACTCCTGAAAACAGTGAAAAATGAAATTTTCCATACAAAAATATTAGTCTAAACTTTTTTGGTCGCTTTTTTCTGGTCATCACTAGTTTGAGAAGAAAATAAAAACAAACAAAAAAATACCAAGTGACTTCCATATTAAAACATGTGGAAGTCTTTTCACCTCAAATTCACAAATGATTCACCAAATATCATGAGATTTCTTCCCCCCACCTCTTAAGTGCAAAGTTTAAACAAGTTGTTTATGCCCCTTCTACTTTCTTTCAGCCGAAAGTTAAATTTACTGAGAATCCTAGTATGAAAAGTTTCTGTTCAAATTTCTAAATATTATTCTCTTTGTAAACCAAATCTTGAGTATAAGGGAATTTGTTGGTGGCAGAGCTTATGTTTTTAGAGGATGTGGGGGTTCCAGTTTTGAATGTTAATGCTTTCACTGAAAGAGGGTTTAAAGTGAGAGCAGTAAGATTATTTCCTTAGTTTTCTTTATAATAATTGGAAATGGTCCAATTTCTTTGCATTTTATTTCTCATGTTGATCATGTGATTCTCATGTACCAGGTATTAGATCTCTTAGAATTTTTAGTGGATTTCTGGAGTAGGAACAACAACAAGAACCAACAGAACGGTTCTGTCGCCCTGAACTTCACCCAGTGCCCTATCTGAGCTCTAATAACCTTAAGCGCTTTTACCCAGGACATTTCAGTATAACCACCTGGAAAAATGAGAGTGGAACTTTGGTTCTGGGTGGCATATGAAAATTTAATTACTAGATTGACAAAGCACTTTAAAATCCCCAGGTAGAAGTGATCAGAATACTGGAGGAGAATATCATATTGGCAGCGATGGGGTCATATTGGTGGTAGGGGTCAGGAGGCAGCTGCTGATAATAAAAGGCCTGTGTCCCTTTCTCTGCACTGGCCCCCTAGTTCCTCCTTTGCAACCAGCCTCAAGGGGAGATAGGGAAAGAATCATTTATTCACCTTCTGGCTGCAAGAACTGCAGACTGCAACTGTGGCAATTCTAGCACTGAGGCGAAAACACACATAGGAAAAAAGAAGGCCATGTCTCACTTCCAAATTAAAAAAAGACATTTCTCCATGTTTCCATAACCCGCAGACTGCTGCCATTTGAGGCCAACCTCTCAAAGCTTTCCTCTTTGTCTAGTGTAGTTGCTGAATCTAGGCCACTGTCAGCAATCCTTTTCATTCACTCAAGCCCGTCCCCATGCCCCACAGATGCAGAGATTCTTTTGAGACATGTGTACTTTGGTATCAAACAATGCAACTCATGTTTGATTTTGGATAACCTCGCACTGTTGAATAAAATAACCCTTGAGAAAGAAGCAATAAAAGCACTGTAAGAAAAATGACTCATGTTTCCAAGCTGTCTAAAGTGATCACTTATCCCAACAAATGGTAATTCTTTCAAGACACAGTGGGCATGCACCATACTTATAAAAGTCTGGAAGAAAAGCCTTGCAAACATTTTTTTTTCAAATTGTGTTAAAATATATCAAAAGAATGTTTCTGGTAGGCTGTACCAGACAGAGTACACTTAAAAACAAAAACAAAAGCCACATGGATGTGGAAGCCACAGTGGATTGGCCCAGAGGGGTCCTTGCTGAACATTCAGGCGCATTGGCTTGTTTATGTACTTGTTTATGTGCCTCTAATTGTTTTCCATTTTCTTCCCCCATTTGTTAGAGTGCAAAGATGTGAACAAAGTGGCTTATTGCCCACTGGTGCTGAAGTTCAAGTTCTGCAGTCGAGCATACTTCAGACAGATGTGTTGTAAGACCTGCCAAGGACACTGACCCATGGAAAGCCAGAGAGAGAGAGAGAGAGAGAGAGAGAGAGAGAGAGAGAGAGAGCCTTGTCATTTCATCTTGGAAATGCATCCATCAAAGAGAGCCACCCAGAGGAAGAGGATTGATGTCCTTGCAAAAGCATTACCCTGTGGAAAACGTAACCACTGGTCAGCCCTAGCTGACAGGATTTCAATATTATTTTAACTTCTGTGAAGTGGGATTTATTGATCCAAAGTGCTGGACACGGTGTTAGGAGGGAATGCCAGATTGGAGAGATCCAAACAACACAGGGAGACTTGCTTACTGTGGAACGTTTGTGTTCTTTCGAGTAAATCCAATAGCCTGTTTACCTCCTTGGACCATTAAGATAATTTTTATTATGGACTTAGCAATGACACTGAATCCATTTGTATTTAAAACTGTTTAAAATGTAGCTGTTATGACTTGGTCAACTACAGAAGTAAAGAAGATTCAGAATTCTTAAGTCATACCTTAAAAATATGTACTATACTTTATCTCACTACAACAGCACCACAATTTAAATTATAAAATGGGCTTTGAACTGTAATTTAAGGAGCAATTATAAATCAAAAGTAATGAAAGTTTGTATTATTATTCTTCATTCCACTTAATTTCCTTAGGAATAATCCCCCATTCTGAACACTGCTGTGAGCCATATATAAAACTATATTAAACTGAACAATGAGGGACTTAGTTTAAAGCAGTGCATCAGTTACTGCAGCTGTGCAAGTCTATAAATTCAGTGCTAAAGACTGTGGCCAACTTGCCCTTGTGCGAGTGAAGCTGAGATTTCCATTAAAACTTTAAGAGAAAAACATTTCAGTTTTGTGCAGAAGCCAGACCTGGGGTATGGTGGAGACCAGTCCCTTTGCTGCCATCTCGCAGGATGCCTTACTTCTTATCTAAGTCACCCCAACTCACTGTGTTTACATCCTTACCAGCCACAGAACAGCTTCTGGCCCTGTTGGACTGTTGCGCGCATGTTGAGCTTACTGAGATGATGCCATGCAAGAGATAGACTGGCTCGGTCACAACCAGGCAGACCCTTTTGCAATTAGCTGACAATTACAATGGGTTCCAGATATCCCTTCTGTGATATGGTAGAAGGGCATTTATTTATATGAGAGCAAGCGTGTGCATATACATGTGTGTGTGTGTATGTGTATGGGTACTTTTGAGTGTGTGAATAGATACGTGTGGTGCACATAAATGTGCTATTTCTGTGAGTTTTAAAGTAGGCAAAGGATAACAACCAAAGAAGAAAAACTCATGAAGGCTAGCGATCATAAAGCATAATTTTAACAGTCACTCAATCAAGTATTTTATATTTTTATGAATACTCTGAATGGCAATTAAATGTGAAACCCAGTTTCTGGGCAAGTCAAATTCTAGAATCACATTCAACTAAATTAAAATGACTAGCTCATATCTTACCTATCTTCAAGTTTCACATCCTGCTCATCAAAAGACTCAATAGCTAGATTTTTTTTAAAAGGGTACTTGTTTATATTATTATTTTGTACTTGAACACTCGTAGCTTGTAGCAGGTTCTTGATGAATGTGCTTTGTGTCCAGCACACTCCTTTGTTTTACACGTGTGGACACCCTGCAAACACCAGTACCTAAAACTCAACACTTAATGGTTACTTTGTAAAGATATTTGCAGTGGAAGAACGTGCTTCACTTATGTCTGTCACTGGCTCTGAAACTACACATTGGCTTACCATGTATACCATGACCTAAGGTAAATGGTTCTTTTTTTTTTTTTTTTCTGAAAGAGAAACTCAGACACCATCCTAAGCTTCCTAAGCCATCCTAAGCTTCTGGGTTTGCTGTGGACAGTTGGCACGGAATGTTTTTTCATGCTTAGTCATAACCATCATATCTTGTTACCTGCTTCTCTCTCAATAATCAGTTCCCATCCCTGAGTTTTCCAGAGAGAGAACTATTTGTGATATAAGACAAATTACCAAGGCCCTATCTATGCTGCCTTTAGAGGACCAGCCCAAGTGCCATCTTAGCCAATGATGAAGGGAAAGCAGTCCCTGGACAGGGTGCTCCTAGCACTGAATTAATCCCTTGGCGCCTTTCAAAGAACAGTTAACTTGGTGCTAATGTGCCCTGGTGAAATAAGGAAAATAGAGTAAATGGTTTCTGTGGCAGTTTAGGCACAGTTTTATTATTCACATCTGATTTTCACCAACACACAAATAGCAGCTCACAGTTTTGTTTCAAAAGGCTAACTTACATTACTGAGTGAATGCTATATTTTTACCTCACCTGGAAACGAGCACTGTGCAGCACTATGACTGGAGCTAGAAGAGGAGGGCAGCCTCATTCCCTCTTGGGTGTACTACAGCTCTAAGGTCAAGATGCTCCCCGGGGCATTATCACGTCGCCCTCAAGAGGAACCTAGCAGAGATACAATAGGGTTAAACATTTTCAGATAGGCCCTGAATTTAAACCTGAGCAAGTGTTAAAAAGAAAACCATGTTCCACAGCACATTAGAATATCGCTGCTACTCTGGAGCCACCCATGTGGCTATATGAAGCTCTATTCCTAAATAATAGCAATGGGATTGTCAGTGGTGAAGGCTGGGCCACCATGGCAGATTCTAAAAGTAGTGCAGATATAGACTACTTAAGGAACCCCATGGAAACTGGTACCCCACAGGTGGGGGCAGTGTCTGCCACTGGTATGAAGGCCTACCAATAAAGGAAAGGTAAATGTACCCCCCAAAATTAAAGCCCTGGAAATATGTATGACTTTCAAATAGTCCATTTCATTAGGAACTTTTTTATTTGAGTGAATGTCACATAGGTATCCTTAATAATACAGAATGAAATTACCTTTGTATTATTGTGATTAGTTGTTGCTTATTATTTTATACTCAGTATTAATGTGGTACACTGTTACTTTTTTTGCTTTTGTAAATTATATTCTAATTTATTGCCATGTTTCCTAACACTTGTCCTTCATTCATTCTCCTGCTTGTAATGAAAATGAAAGTCATTGTAACCCTTGATGGAGTGAATTCCACACCAGGCACAGATTTTTTTTTTTAACATAGATAATTTAGAAAAAATAAAAATTCAGCTTGTAAAAATGATTCAGATGGAAGTTGTCTGTTCCCTGAAAAGCTCATGTTAAACTGGGAGTAGAAAGAGTCTATCCCTTGGGATGTCACACCCCCATCATCTGGATTATCCAGGTGTGTCCTGGATTGAGATGATTTGCTGTATCTTATTACCCTTCCCAAGGATTGCACCTATATAAGCTCATTTCAGTGCTATCTGAAGGCAATGGGTTCAGGATTTCTGGTGGAGCTACATCCCCCGCCCCCACTCTATAGCCAGCTATTCTGGGGCTAGAAGAGGAAGTCCAGAGTGTCCTCTGCCACACACCTCCATTCACTGGGTGCAAAACTCTGTCCTCCCTCCTTTTCCTTCCATGTAAATTCTTCAGTGATAGAGAAAATACAAGACATTTCATTGTGGAAAGGGTGATGAACAATGAATCCACATGTGAAGTTTTTTTATTCAGATTCATGGGAAGCATAGAAATACGAAGGGCACCTTTTTCTGCCTTCAGACATTTCCTCTTAGGTGGAAGATGAACCAATGGCTTAGTTTTTGCTGAGTCAAGAGACACTATATTATGCAAAACTGTATTATAATTCAGAAAAACTTTGTAACGTGAAAGTGACCTTCCTGCACGCTTAGCTATTTGAGTACTTTTATAGTGACAACTTCATCAGTAAGAAGATATAGAATGTCTAAGCATGATGGGTGCTTTAGTCTACTCCCCCCTTATTTATACAATAAAGTAAATGAGGTGAAGCCAAATGAGATGACTAGATAGTCTTAGAAAGGTTTTCCCCCAGGTCATCCTGGGAGCCCCAAGTAGCTAAAGTATTATTAAATACTCAGTTAATGAGATCAAAGTTAACAACCATTTAAACCACCCACTGCCTTCAAAAAAGGTAGATCTGCTGGAGGTTTGGGAGGGGTAATACTAATAAAAATGGGTTGCTAGAACCTAGAACCCCCAGATTGGAGTCTACCTTTTCATCTACCATTGCTTTCAAGCTTCCAATTAAATGCCTGTTTCCAATATCTAAAGGATACTATTCTGTTTAGGGTGCAGATCCAAAGACAATCTGCACTCCATGGAGATTCCACCACTCCCCAGGGAGCATCCTTAAACCTTTATGCTCCAAAAGTCCAGGTGTTTTTCCTAGCAAATTAGGAAAAAGATGAGGTGTTGAGCTTAGTAACAGAAATATATGAATTTGCATGATTGGGATAAAATTGAAAGAAGGGGAAAAGAAATATAATTCAAGGGGAAAAGAATAAAAGTCTTAGCCCAGGAAAATTGGAAAATTCTAAATAAGAGGTCACAGGAAGAAGAAAAAGATCAGTCACTGGATAAAAAGTGATAGATAAGCTGTGTTTGAAATTTTGTCTCATTCCTATTATCAGAATGTGTGGACTAAACTAACATGATTAAAAGAATAGCTGTTGGGCTGGGATTGTGGCTCAGTGGTACAGCGCTTACCTTGCACGTACGAGGCTCTAGGTTCAATACTCAGCACCACATAAAAATAAATAAAGAAAATAAAGGTATTGTGTTCATCTACAACTAAAAAATATTTTTTAAAAAAAGAACAGCTGTTTACAATAGTTTTGTACTTCAGACGTCAAAACCTCAAGCCTAAAAGGAAAAATGGCCTTTTCTCTATCTCAGAAGTTTATTTTGAGATTCTTACCCCTCATTTCATTCACAGACAATGTCTGAGGACAGAAATGGAACTGTGGTTTGAGAGCTGGCTCCCCTCCGTAGGGGAAGCCACCATCATGCTTGTGGTCTTGTGGGGGATGGATACCAGCTCCTCCGTAACCCGCTGAAAGGTTTGAACTGCATGGATGGTGAGACTAATTTCCATGACAATGTCATGCCTTCACCATAAGGACACCTTGTGTTACACAAGGCC